AGCCTCAAAACTCACGTCTACATGTCACCACAGTAGGACAAACCGACAGACAAGTTTGTCCTGCTGTTGGAGACCTCTCGTATCCCCCCCACCTGGGTCCCTGTGGCTGACTGTTCCTCTGTCTGGCTTCCTGTCTTTTTTCCAAGGACCTATTGCTAGTGGTAAATGGGATAATGATATGCCCTGATGTGTGGTAGGAACATAATCACTAAGGCACTTACTTATGATAGATTGAGATATGGCACAGGTGGAAGGGAAAACATTGGTTTATGCAGTAGCTCTAGAGTGAAGGATCTCAAAATCTGTCCCTGAGACTAGCAGTATTGCTTATTTGGTGTCTTAGTTATCTAAAGCAAGAAAAACCCAAACCCATTGCCATCAAATCTATTCGGACTCACAGCGAACCTATGGGACAGAGTGGACTGCTCCAGAATTTCTGAGCCTATATCTAGTGCTGCTATTCTAGAAATACCACAAGTGTTTGGCTTTAATAAAAGAAATTTATTTTCTCACAATTCAGGAGACTAGAAGTCTGAATTCAGGGTGCTGGCTCTAGGGAAAGGCTCTCTGCCTCCGTAGACTTTGGGGGAAGATCCTTGTTTCTTTTCAGCTTCTATTACTAGGTTCCTTGTTGATATGTGGCATATGTATTCCCTTGTTTGTGCTTGCTTGCTTAATCTGCTCTTTTATATCTCAAAAGAGATTGACTTAAGGCACACCTACACTGATATTTCCTCATAACAAAGAAAATCCATTCCCATGTGAGACTATAACCACAGCTACAGGGTTTAGGTTTTACAACATATTTTTTGGGGGGAACACAATTCAATCTATAACACATAGTGTCTTGATTTCCTTGGGCTGCCATAACAAAGTACCACAAACTTGGGGGCTTAAAGCAAAAGAAATGTATTCTGTCACAGATCTAGGGGCTAGAAGTCTACAATCAAAATGTCAACTCTCTGAAGGCTCTAGTAGGAGGCAGTTATCTTTGCCTCCTCCTAACTTCTCGTGGTCATTAGCAATCCTTGTTTTTTCTTGGCTTATAGACACATCACTCCAATCTCTGCCTCCATTGTCACATGGCATTCTCCCTGTGGGTCTGTGTGTCTCTTCTCTTCTTATAGGGACATACACGTCATTTGGGATTAGGTCCTACTCTACTCCACTATGACCTCATCTTTCTGTGATTACATCTGCAAAGATCTTATTTCCATTCAACTGGTATGTTGACAACATAGGTTTTTCTTTCAGATATTATGATTATGGGACACAGGTTTTGCACATTTTCTTTCATTGCTTGGCTCACTGCTATAGTGGGATAACTGCTCTACACGTCACACCCAAGAAATGTCTCCTTTTAGTTTTCTAAGTAAAACTTAATGAAAACAAAAAATCAATAATCTAAATGTTTGTATTAGACAGGATGTCATTATCAAAGCTCTTGGGGCTCATTCCTCCCAAAGCCCAGAGATGAAGTTGGACTGAGAAGAGGGGGTTGGAGGTGTGGCTCTTAGTCCATTTTTGCTCTTCCTGACTGTAAGTCTGTTATTCAGGGCTAGCTCTGAGGGGCATCAATGCCAGGGGAGGAAAGTGTTGGAGAGAGGCCCTTCACCTTGCTCGACTACTCCTTTCTACCCCAGGCTTGCCACCAGAGTCCGTGACCTCAAGACCGTAATATCTCACAATCAGGGACGTTGAATGGCAAAAGAGGACAAGTATCAGATGTCAGGAATGCAGAACCCAGGAGCTCAGGTCACTCCCTCCTTTCAGATCAAGCACTCTCATCCCACTCATGTAATTCCAGCTTAATTCTTTGATAGGCCAAATAGCCTACATGAAAGCCTGGACAGAAGTCTTTTTCTATTTGTCCCTGAACACAGTGTGGTGAAATGAGTTCTTTATGTGGCCTTTTGTATTGGTTCTCTGGAAAAATAACTTGAGAAATTATTCCCCTAAACCCTGAGGAATTACCTTTGTCCTAGTATTCTATCCCAGAGGGTTTGTTACTTCTGTCCAGGTCCATTGACAATTACTGGATGAACTTCAAACCATCTGTGGTTTGATACTTTTTGTCTGGTCTTGGGCAGCAGCCTGCTCTATGATCCATATGCACCTTGCAGGGATTGATCAATAGACTATGCAAATGAAGTGTCTATAGCCTACTATGCAAATGAAGTATCTATGGTCTACTGGGAGGGCATGGATCCTTATTTCTAAGCAACTAAGGAGGTCCATCAAAATGAAATAAAATGCCTATGCCCTTGAAGGGGACATCTGGGGCACTGGTAATGTTTTGTTTCTTGATCTGGGTGCTGTACATGGGGTGTACAGTTTATGAAAATTCATTTCGCTTTATACCTATGGTACATACACTTTACTGTATATATATTATATCTCAATAAAATTTTCTTAAAAATATGTCTTTTGCACTTGGAAACAGTTAGCCCAAGGGACTAGTGGACCACAGGAACCTCAGCCTACATGACCCTGAGACCAGAACAGTGCCTGGCTTCCACTGTCAACCACTTGGAAAGGGATCAGTGTAGGAGATCCTGGATAGAGTGGGAGAAAAATGTGGAACAAAACTTAAAATCATAAAAAAGACCAGGATTTCTGGTTTGATAGAGACTGATGAAACTCCCTAGTCACCCTTCTGGCCTGGAATTGAACTCACTCCTGTGGCTTCCACCCAAACAAAAGACAGGCATATAAAGCGAACATTTACACCAGATAGGTACTCTCCTTAGAACTATCAACCATAGGAGATCAGAGGGCAGTATTTGCACAGGGAGATAGCTCAGAGGGCAGGAATGCAAAGGAAAGGATACAGGGAAAAGGTAACCACGGGGAGAAAGTGGGAAGAGAGCTGTTACATTATGGGGATTGCAATCAATGTCATGAAACAAAATGTGTATGAACTGTTTTATGGCAAATAAATTTGCTCTGTAAACGTTCACCCAAATCACAATTTAAAAAAATAAAAATACGTCTTTTGGTACAGCCTACAGATATGTATAATAATACTGCTTAACATTGGAAAACATGGAAATGAGCTGAATATCCTTTCATAAGGGAATTATCTTGCATACCAGACCTGGCTTCTGGGTTCCTGCCCCCTTAAATTGAACAAATTAAATGGCTTCCGTTTGCTCTTTTCTACTGGGGATTGGCGCTAGTTACTTCCGGGAAAGAGCTCTGAGAGACAGCATTTCGCTCACCCAACTCTTCTGCGCACAGATAATAGGCTTCCACTCGCACCCGAGAGGGCCCCTCATTCCGGGACGCAGCGACTCCGGAGTCACGTGACCGCCCGATCAGCTGACCAGGCGGGACAGAAAGAAGAAACTCCTGACCCTGCACCGCCTAGCGCTATGGTGAGGGATGGGGGAATGAAGTGAGGCAGGGAGTGCGGGGGGGCAGGCAGGGTTGGGTCGCCAAAAGTCCCATATTGCTAACGCAGGGGAAGGGTGGGGTACCGGGTAACTCCTGGAGCGAGGAGCGGGCGAGTCTGCGATGGCCTCTTAGCAAACACTGCGTGTGGTCGTGAGGGAGGGCCTAGGGTGTTGTAGAGAAAATCTTCCCCACTCCCCACCCTCTCTTTTCCCCCCGCGCCAAGTCAGCCGGGCGGCTTAGAGATCCGGGTACTCCACTGGGGAAAAGAAAGGGCTCCTGCCTCCCGGGGCAGGGCTTAGGGCTTATTAGAGCGGGAAGTACTTCTCCAGCTACAGGAAGATTTCCCAAACTTGCCCACTTCCCCAACCCCCCTGTAAGACTTGGAGAAGAACGTACTTAGAATTAGGCTTTCCAGACTGTTAAAGGAACCCCATCACTCTCCAGAGCCAGCAGACCAACCCATCCATCCATCCCTTCAGTTCATCCATTCATTCAACATGCATTTTTGAGTACCTACTCTATGTTGTTGTTGTTGTTGTTATGTGCCCTCGAGTCGGCCCCAACTCATAGCGAGTCCTCCTTGGGTTTCCGAGGAAGTATCATTACAGAAGTAGGATTGCCCAACCTTCCTTCCGAGGAGTGGCTGGTGGGTTTGAACCGCCAGCCTTCTGGTTAGCAGTCA